AACAGATATGCCAAAATGATATGCAAGGTCTTGCTCAAAAAGTCCTAGCTTAAGGCGTACCAGAACCATGAAGAACTCTTCAGTAGGTGAAAGTGAACGATGTCGTTCCTGAATGCTTTTTGTGTCTCGTTTGATTTCACTTCCCCAGTTATTTAAGCAGTTAACAGCCGGCCCCAACAATTTGTATAATGCCATTAATGTAGAGTAATTACCAAATCCAGTATAGAATTGAATTTTAGTATCACTGTTACATATATTGGATAAACATAATGCAAATGTGTGTAGCTTTAATTTGGGAACTTCTACCTCAGCTTCTAAATTTACTATCCTTGTGTCATCTACATGTAAATCAAATCTACTTGCACTTCAATATCATGAGATTTAGCTGCCAACTGCTCCATACCCCTTTGTTCTTCACTATGATGGTCAGCAGTGGCATGATTCTGATGCAAAGGCACAGTTACTCTTTTAGTAGGAGGCCTATGCTGCTTTTCTGCTTTTGTTATTTCAGGCAGCTTAAGTGTTGGATATTCTCCAGGTAGAAGACATCTGCCTCTTGCAGAATTTGGCTCAAAATGCTCACTACATACCCTACAATTACCATTTAAAGATAGATTCTTCCTTCCAATCTTATAGATCCAAATTTGGAGAAGCTTTTTGTCCTTCAGGGGTACTCTGTAGTATCATAAGTCTTTCTCCCTATTAGATCTTTTTGAACATCCAGGAACTACGCGAAAGTTGACCATTGTTGTTACAAGAACAATGCCAGAACAAGCTACTAGCAAGTTCCTGCTGCAATAATTACGAAATTGACCGCTTGGCGCTTGCCCTCCAGGTCGTATTAAATCTAATTCTAATTATTCATTATAAAAAATCGAAAATGTGCCATTACTTGAATCAAGAGTAGATAATAGTTAGAGAGAGTGTAGAATTGCACTATGCTAGCTGGAATATGACCGCGTAGAACTAAGTCACGTGAGACCTGAATTGTAGGTGTACCTACTAAAAGCACGTGTAGAAGTTTTCATAAGGAAGAGTGGAGAACACTTGAAGAAGCTGTAGACATCATCCTAGTACACTTTATAATGCTGCTGAAGCCTGTTATGCAGTACAGCTATAGCTGAGACTCCAAAACGGCCAGTAAACCTTGTTGAGCAAACTAGGCAGCCATTTTTCCCTACTCAGCCACACCCAATATGCGGGAATGCCCAAAGATGCGCAAGAAAGTTCTATGCGGTCATATTCCAGCTAGCATAGTGCAGTTCGACACTCTCTCTAACTATCATCTACTCTTGCTTGAATAAAACTACTTTCCTTTTGGTTTACGGAAGATTACAACACACCTGTAGTGAAACCACTTGATTGGAGAATCTTTATCATCACAAGCAATCATCCGCCTTTTGTCCTTCCCACCACATAAACAATACCTTTCTTCTTGAATGTCAGGAAGATCAGATGTTGAATTTTGGCATACTAATAACTGGGAGAAGACCTTAATAAAGTAGTTATCTAGGTGTGGCTTTAGCTCTTCAAAAATTATTGATCACATAAAATACACTGTATGTATAATGCTTTTGGTGTCCAGACAACAAAGTCAAACAAGTTTATATAACAAATTATGAGTTGTCCTTGAATCTGGTAATAATACTCATGATTTTGAGAAAGTCTTATAACTTCACATTTCTGATTATGTATAATATAAGAACTAGCGTCTGTAATTGTGTTTAGGTCCATTTCACGATACTTGTAATGGCACTTTATCTCATTAAGACCATTGCCACAGCAATCACAATGGATCATCTGTCTGGTGAATCACCAAGATGTGGATACTCTGGATTAATGAAGAGACCCGCTACTTGATAATGAATGTCTGAATGGGAATCACCAACAAATAAAATGTAACCATATGAGTTACAGTTTCATTTTCTAATCAGAGGTGGTACTGTAGTATCACTACTTTTATGATGACCAACAAAGCTCTTAAAAAGTGAAATAGAAGATATGACAAAGAAGTAAATCCACCTTCGCTAATTTTTGAGCCTGTTTTTTTTACCCTTTCTATGTGTAAACCATAGTGGGGAAAAGCTTTGCAAGTGGGTAGATTCTTTCAAGTACATGTAGGTACAATCTTCATGAAGCAGCAACAGAGAGCTTCTCGAATTTTGTCTTTGATAAATCTGCCATTTTGAAATTTCTAAGAAGGAGATTGTTATGATTTTACTAATGATGTTGGATGGGGCGGAAGTTTTTCAATTATATTTATCTTTGGAACACTTCTCAGCATGGTATTTGATAAGACAACAGCATTTGGTATAATCGACTTGATATGAGATATCAACGCATTTTCATGGATGGTGTCAGTAATTAAAGGTTGCCTGAGATGGCTTCAAAGGCTCCATTGCTTTGTTACCTCATTTTAGATGACTAAAGTCAATTTCCACATTAATTGATGGAGTAACCTATAGTTTTGGTTTTAAAATAGTATGGAATTGATTCTGTACAAACCTTTGTGTCAAAATTCTCATTACATGGGCAACGTTGTGAAATGCTAACAGTGTGACGTAATTGTGCAGAATTTCCTATCTTCAATAATATTGCAGCCAAATGAGAGCAGCTTTCTCCTTAGCTGTAGACAAGACAATTCATGCAAACATAGTACATGTATATCATATATCTTACCCTGTCATGCATGTGCAATGTCCGCAAATAATTGTTCCTTCTGGCTTTTTTTGTCACAATTGCATGCATGGTGTGCTTTCTCTGGAGCATTCTGACTGGGATTCACAAAAGCTTTTAAGAGAACGAACTTTAGAACTCCTTTCCCCAAAACATGGCAATAAATAGCTCTCACATGGCCACTTTTGAAATAATGTTAGGCCTCAAGCGGCTTCCAAGGGAGCTATTGCTCGTGGCTATACTTTGACAGTAAGCCTGGTCTCTTGTCACTCTCTACTAGAGACCAGGCCTACATGTAACTGCAATAAGTAAACATTATAACACCCCCGCTAGGGATACATCGCATTTGTATGACCAAGCCTGAGGGCCGCAGGCCCGAGGACAAAGTCAAATAAATTTGATGTATCCTGCAGTGGGGGTGTTATCAACATATTTGTGTGATAATGAGTGGGTGTATCAAAGGCGTGCGCCGATGCGCATGCTCAGTAGCACTACACCTCATGGTAAAATGAAAGCAATAGAGGACAAGAGGCTCAGAAAAAGGTACTTTATCAACAGATTTAGGCTTTAGGTTGACATATCTAATCTATTTTCAGGCCATAATGATGTATTTGTGATATTGCCAACTGGCTTTGGAAAAACAGTGTGCTATGCTTGTCTGCCAATGGCATATGATTTACTACACCACAGAGGCACCAATTGCTCAATAGTTTTGGTTATTAGTCCATTGACTGCTTTAATGAAGGACCAGGTTCAGTCACTAAAGGACCATGGTATCAGGGCTGGTCATATAGACAGTGACTCAGCTATCGACATTAAAGAAATGGCACATACTGGTGCCTATAGTATATTGTTCATGAGTCCAGAGATGCTGGTGGGTAAGGGTAAGGAAATTGTGAGAAATGATGTATTCAAGAAGAATCTAGTTGGTTTGATAATAGATGAAGCTCACTGTGTTGTAAAATGGTTAGTCTATAATTATACCAATTTTTTTCATGCATACATATATAGGGGTAAAAGTTTCCGTGATTCCTTTTTACAGATCAGGGAGGTGAGAAGCATAATTATTGTCATCAAAAATAAATATCATGGCACTAACTGCAACAGCAACTTCACAACTTAGAATTAGAGGTACAAAAGCTGTTGGGGATGGATAAGCCTTGTGAGGTTATATTGTCACCAGATAAATCTAATATTTTGTATACCGTCTATGAAATAAAAGGCAGTTTACTCAGCAATGCCATTTTTCACCATATTTTAAATGAATTGAGGGTTAAACGCTCATCTCTAAACAGAATATTAATTTACTGTAAGTGCAAAACAAATTGTGCTGAACTCTATCGTTTCTTTTCACTGAATTTGGGAGATAAATTCACTGAACCACCAGGCGCATCACCTCGTATACCAGAATGTTGGTTAGTTGACATGTTTTTTAAAAGCACAGAAGAAGAAGTAAAAGATAGTATAATAACTAATTTCTCAAAATCGTCTCCATTACGGATAGTTATTGCAACTGTAGCTTTCGGCATGGGAGTAAATTGCCCTGATGTTCATCTAATACTTCATTTTAGCCCACCTCATGACATAGAAAATTATGTACAAGAAGTTGGTAGAGGCAGAAGAGATGGAGCACAGACATTTGCCATTCTTCTTCATAACAAAAAATTGCTTAAAGAAAGCTCTGATTATATGACACGTTATGTTAATTATAAGAAGGAATGTAGGCGAGATTCTTTGTATAAATTTTTTGATAAATATTCCCACTCACAAGAAAATTATGGATGCCCACTGCTGTGACATTTGCCATAAGTTATGTACATGTGGACAATGCACAAAGACATTATCCAATAGAGACTATTCATTTATTTCACTATTTTATTAATAATATTTATTCATTGTTTATTGTGTGCAATATAATACATCTTTCAACTGTTTTAAGTGTTCTTTCGCCCATTCCATAAATTTTTTCTTATCAACATCACAATCAACAGTCACACCTTTAAATGTAGTGTGTTCCCTCTGATCTATATGTTTAAATACCTTTTTTTCCATTAGTTGTGACAGTATTATCAAAAGGTCTTTCTTGGTAGTTGATACTGCATGTTTGCCTGATTGAGCATTGACTCCAAGAGCATTATTGAAATTCTCTTCTAACTCAACAATCACTCCAAGACATCGAACAACTCTGCATATACTTTCTTTTGTTTTATAAGAGCCTACAGACATCTTACATACCCGGTTCAAATGTTCCATTAGTAAATCACAAGGTATGTTTCGACCTTGAATGCCTGATGTGTTGACACAGCGTGACCAAATGAGCTGTTGGGATTGGTGTGGTGACAGAAAGAAGTCATGTTGCCCCAAAAGATTAAGTGCTTCAATAGCATAGTTACTCCGTCTAGCTTTCTTAAAAATGAATAAGAAGTACCTCCAACAACGAAGGATGCATAGGCCATCCTCTTCCCGAATTGCATCACAAAATTCAGTATAAAATAAACCCATAGAGAAAGTACCTTTGAAGCATAAAGTTGGACTTTGTCATTATCATTAACCACGCTCTCTCCCATACTATTATCATCAGTTATGTTACCAACAAACTGCCTTCGAAGATCAACAAGCATCACGACAATCTCTCTACATACACAGAGCAGTACATCACTTCTATTGCTATTTGATTCTGTCCATAAAGACTCTGAGAGTAAATGGTGCTTTGGTGAATCTTTGACATCCTCCATTTCCAAATATGTCATAGCAGCAGCAATTATATGGCCTCTTGTTACCAAATTAAAAAAATCATCACACGCATTAAAATCTTTATCAGCACTAGCAGATACATTCCTTCAATCAATCGCATTTCGTAATTGGCACATTGTTCCTTGTTCCTTAAAGCTACTGGTATTATAAAAATATTTCTATACAACCTACATGTAAATTACAGACATGGGAGAGAGAGGGGAAAAGAGACAGACAAAAACGAGAGGAAAATGACAGCAAATAACAAAATATTAATTGCTAGCTAGACAATTATAAATGAATACATAATTCAAATTCATAGTTTATACCTCCAGAAAAATGCCCTTGGTATGCCAGTCTTCACATACAGGCATCAGACCAGTTAACTGTGAATGTGGGGTTTTGCCATTACGTCTCATGTCCCTTGCCGATTTAATCCGTTTGCGAGTTAACTGGTCCCCACCAATTAACAAAGTGTGACACAGATCCCCGGAAACTATTCTTCCCGATTTATCATCAGCTACAGTCTTCTGTCTTGTTGGAACATATTTGTGCACCTCTTCCAATATTTCAATCATCTCTTCAGTCATATTTTCATTCTTATTCATGATTCCAAGTGGGACCTATATAAAATCAATATAACATAATGCAGTGGGGCACTCCATCTTCCCATACTTCATGTACCTACTGTTATAATTAGATGTACATGTAAATATGCATGTTATGTACAACTTAATGTACACCTCAATATGTACATGTACATAATCATGCACAAACATGTACATATTTCTTAAAAACTCACAATGTCAGACTTTTGAGCCATTTCCTTTGAGTAAGGATGACCTATGTGCCTTGTGACAACTTGATCAAATGTATTAGAAAAGTACGCTAATTCCTCAACCAATACTCGACTGATATGGACTGCAAAGTTGTACTCTAAAGTTTGGTCATCAGCACGAGAAGGAAAGAGACTATTAATAGGTAGCTGAGACACTGGAAGGAAGAATGAAGGCTTGGGTATGTCACTTAGTGTGGAGAGGTTTACACGATCTCTGACAGCATAATAGTGGAAACCATGAAAAGATATGGTTTGTTGATCAATACGAGTATGTCTTCTTTTAATATTCTTGTCTAAATTGTCACCGACCAATTTGAATCCGTTCCACTTGTTAGTATCAGTATTTATGTCTAAATAAAAAATATATTTACATGTACATACACTCTTACATGAGACAAGACCTACCATCATTATCAGTAGACTCTGTAATATCTTCAAACAACCCTGTACCTAAATAATTATCACTCTCACATGGTACATCACCTAAAGATAGTTTCATTATTATCACTATTACAATGAAGTACCTGATATATCTAAAAAAGATGGAGGGGCGACAAGAGACTAGTCAGATTCATCGTCTTCAGTATCTGGTGTATCATTATACAATACACAACTATTGTCAGTACTGCTCTTCATGGACTCATTATCAGATTCACTCTCCAAATCATCATCAGACTCTGACTCAATGGCATAATCATGTTCATCTAGATTACTTGCAGTAGCATTATTGACTGTAGATACTTCCTAAAATCATTATGTTCATGATAATGCATTCATTGAAACATACTGTATCAGGTGCAACAAGGTCCATCATCCATGATCTAACTGTGGCATCATAATTACTTCCAAGTAAAGTAACCCAGTTGTAAGAAGCAGTCTTACCAAGACAAAACATCAATTTACTCAATTGATCATAAACCTATAACATTATAGTACAGTTATAACTGTATACATGTACATCAAATTACCTTTGTACCAGTGTGTCCTGTGTATAAAATCATTGATATCAACTTTTGAAATAGTGACATGTCATGACAACGAAACTTACAGAGAATGCATATGATAGATATAATTACAAACTTAGAGGAAAGTCCTTTGGATGTGGCTGTACATGATGAAAGAAGATTAAGAAGTGTTGGACAGTTCGATACGATCTCCGTCATTACACTCTCCCAGGAAAAACAACGAATGCTTGTCTCGTCCTTCTTTCTGAGCACAGACATCACATTTCGAGAACATAACTTCTTGATCTCAAATAAGAGCACCTTTCCCATGCCTTTTGTAATCCAATATCGAGCCATATAGGATACTTTAATGCATAAGTTGCTAAACTTTTTTGAAATTATTTGACCTAACAAGAGATTTTGCTATCTTCTTTCTCTTCCTTGCCACATTGTAAGTCTTACATCCGCTTTCATAAGGAATAAATACCTGCAATTAAACATGCATGTAATTATAGTAATAATAATAATTAGAAATTAGCAGAAAAGACAATAATGTTTCACTTACTGACCCACAAGGAGAAACTTTGGATGCACCAACATCTCTTTCACTACATAATCGCTTCCTTGAAGGAGTGCCAGTAGTTGTACTCACTGTAGGTAAAGGAGATCTCAAAGGAGATACAATGTCCGGTACATTAGATGCGGCGGGCTGAAATTCAGTTAATTGGCTTGAAAGAAAAGCAATAGACCCTTCAGTCAGCTCATACAGCGATTCTCCTTTAGCAGTATATGTGCTATAAGAATTAAAGCACTTTCTACAGAGGTAAGACTCTTTCAGAAGGGACTCGAGACTAATCTTGAGAGAGGTAGAGTGTTCAGAATTGGAGTGGAATGAACTGAGTCTTCTCATAATCATTTCTTTCAATGATTTCCTTATAGAATTAGTGGCTTCAGACTTTAAAAGTCTTCTATCTCCAACAATAGCAGCATTACCACACGATACACAAATATGAGAGGCTTGATCAGAGGACTGAGAGCAGCAAAAAGAAACAGACACAATTTTTTGAATACGTATGTATGACGAAATGAAACGTCACTTATGACGTATTACAATACTGCGATTTCATTGGTGTGCAGGATTCCTTGCGCGCGGAACAAACTACTATCACTGTGTGAACCAGACCTTTCCCCGCCGTCCACCCCAATGACTGTAGGCTGGGGAACGGTCTGGCTCACGAGACTATTATTTAGCCATTACGGTTAAGACAACCATTGATTTAAACACAGAAGGAGAGCAGTGAACTCTACCTGCATGGATTATTGGTCTGTGCCTCGATCTAAAGTCGTCTGGACTCCGGAGACTCCCTATTCCCCGGCTTTGTACCTGTCGGTTCCTGCTGTGAGCTCCCAGGCCATTGCCCAGGCTTCATTGACAGTTGAATTGAATTCCAGCTTATTTAGCTGTCCAATATGTTGCTTTGTATATTTTATTTTATAAAAATTTTTCCATCAAAACCACAGGGATACAATTAAAGCCACTGGGATACAAATAAAGCCACAGGGATGCATCACATTTGTAGCATAGGTGGTGCCTTTGATACGCCCACTCGCTATTATACAATACTGATTGTATACAATTCCCATTAATTTCAAAAAATTTTTTTCTATTAAAGCGTCAGTATTTTATTCATAGCACTTACAAACCATTCAACCTCTAATTTCTGATATTTTTACTGTATTTTTAGCTGATTCTCATATGATTAACTAAGATTACGTAATACTACAAAGTCTATCTGATGCATCTGTAGCAACCTACTACATCACAGTGTATTGTTTACATTCGTATACTTCTTAGCTATACAGAAATATACCATTTTACTTCATTTACGCTAATAATAATTATCGGCATGGGAAGTTTGACTCACAAGTCATTAAAATAACATACACTGCCTTTTTTACCTTGTCAGGAATATAAATATGTGCCATAATGTAACATTGACCATAGAGCTGTTTGATATTCTCCCTAGTTCTGTGTAGTGTGACTGGTGTAATGTGGAACTCCAATCTTGTTGACAAGTTGTTGTTAAGGCAGAGATCTGCCTTAACGCATGTTATCATTTATCATCAAAACAAAAGATATTCCTCTATCACGTCATTTAAAATGGTGACTAGCTGTTTGGCCTCTCATGAAGAAACTTTACAGGAATCTAGTGTTGCTACCAGTGAAGTTTGTGCTTTTTTTGAAGAGACTGCTAACAAGAAAGTGTCTTGAGAGTGGTGTG